CAGCGACTCGGCGGCAGCCTCGCCAAGCTCGCAAGGGACTGGCAGACACTCGCTGTGGGGAGCCCCAAGCCCCACGCAGCCCCCAGGACTGGGACAAGGCTGCTGCTCTGCGGTTCCAGCTCACCCCATGGTGCTACTGGGGACAGGGAGGGCTCAGCTGGGTGGCAGCCCGTGCAGATGCCTGACCGTGCCAGCACATCCTTCTCTGGTCTGTAAACGCTCGCCTCTGCCCCTGCAAGAGCAATGCAGCTGGAAAGGGACAACTATGAACTCCTTCATCCCTGTCCTGGCTCCTGGAGCCTCCCAGCAGGTCGGGACACCCCAAGGCAAGCCAGCACGGTGCTGCGAGGACGCACACTCAGAACCGAGCGTGGCACGCAGCTGTTTTGGCAGCGCTGGGGAAACGGGAAGCACAGCAAGGAGGAGGAGGCGAGGAAGGCTCGCTTCCCAGCATGGCTCTGCCAGCATTTTGTAGCTCCTCCCTCCCAACCAGACCCGCTCAGACTCACGGTGGACTTTTGCCATCCAAAAGCTGTGACCTTTCCTGAAACCCTTGGCTTTGGACAGCAGGCCTGCGTGACCCCAGGCGAGCCCCCTCCGCTCGCTCCCCGCCTGGGAACCGCATTCGTTTCCACCCAAGATGAGCCACGCTATGGCTCGGCACCTGCAGATAGTCAAAGCCTTTCATTTCTTCAAATCTCATTAAGGTTTTGCAAAAAGAAGCCCCGAGTGGGGCTTAGCATCTGCAGGGCCCTGATAACGGGGCGGCAGGCGGTGCCTCCCCAGGCGAGCCCCCTCCGCTCGCTCCCCGCCTGGGAACCGCATTCATTTCCACCCAAGATGAGCCACGCTCTGGCTCGGCACCTGCAGATAGTCAAAGCCTTTCATTTCTTCAAATCTCATTAAGGTTTTGCAAAAAGAAGCCCCGAGTGGGGCTTAGCATCTGCAGGGCCCTGATAACGGGGCGGCAGGCGGTGCCTCACGCCGGCTGACCCGAGGAGGAGCTGCCACGGGGTGCGGGGCTGACATCTCCCACTGGCTCCCCAGAAGGACTCAAATGGGGGGGTTTGTCCACAAAAAAAAAAAAAACCAAAACCAATTAGAACCAAGCCTGAGTAGGCTGTATAGGAACAGGGAGGGGAGGGGGACAGCCAGGACCCTGCCATCCTTTACATGATTTTCTGCCTGTGCTACAGCAGCAATGGGGAGCAGAGCCCCCATCCCCGGCCCCAGGAAACACACTGTCGGATGGACAGACTGCCCAAGGAGGGGAGGAAAGCTCCTGCCGTCCCCGTTTCCAGGGGGGGCTTAAGGCACGGGAAGATCAAAGGCTCATCTTCCCGGCTGCGGCAGATTTGTACTTTCCTGTGTGCTTCTCTTTGTTTTTTTAAAGCCTTCACCACCTCGGATGCTGTGCGCTGGACAAGCCCTTTTGCCTGCCAGGGTCCCCATCTGTTTGTCCTGCTGGGGAAATGGGGATGCATTGGGGATCACCGCAGCTTTCCCCTCTGCTAGAGACGTTCCTTGGAGCCCTTGGGTGAGGATGAGCTCCGAGTGCAGGCACCAGCTCTGCCCCCTCCGTCCCTGCCCAGAGCAGCCGGCCAGGCTGGCTTTCTCGAGCGATGGGATTTGGGGAGCTCAGTGGTGGCATTTCCCAGCCAGCACAAGCTCAGGAGACCCCAGCATCTCCCGAGGGGCTTCCCGCACCCTGCCAGACCCCTCTGGAAAGGGTCCCACGCAGGCAGGGAGCACGGTACCTGTCTTTACTTTTTGTTCAGTTATTTCAGTGGATTAGCTGTAGCTGGGTTTTCTAGCACTTGCCTTCCGGACAGGGCGGCACACAGAGCCATGTGCCCCGGGCGGGAAGGCTCGTCCCCTCCCTGGACCCCCCCAACAGTGTTTTCCCTGGGGAGGGAACGTTGTACATGCAGTTTGTCGGTAGCACACCCTTGTGTAACTGTCACCCAGGACTCCCTAATGACTTTGTTTTGACTTGCACGAGAGGTATTTAATCCATCCCGAGACGCAGGATTTCCCAGGATTATTCCCGAGAGCGCACGCATCGCTCTGCGGCCCCGGATTAGCCTAAACCCGTCCATGGTGACACCTCCCCAGGGAGGGGTGGGCAGGGGCGGCCGGGGGTCCAGGACCTGGCCACGTACCTTCCCGGCAGAGCCCTGGACCGGGTCGTGGTGTGTA